GTAGCTTATGCTACAGCTTCTCCGTGTGGCAGTTTTTCTCCTGGCAGAGTTGAACCTTCAGTTACGCCTGCACCAGTTTAAGTTCTTCCTTGTCTCCAGCTCTGAAGGCCCTCTTCTCATTAAGAAGGTCCTTTGTGATCCATGGTATGTTTTTTGGAAAACAGTGCACTGATTTTGTGGGGACTATGTTGTCCACACAGGAGCGGATGTAGTCCTTGATACAGTGGCTGTATCCCTTAATATCCTCCCCTTATGACTTATACAGCATGTTCCAGTCTGACTCCTTTAAGCCATCCTGCAGAGCCTCTACAGCCTTCTATATCCATTTCCTTATGGTCCTAGTGGGGACTCGTTGAACTGCTGGTGTGTCCTTTGGTGTAAGTTATACCATGTTGCAATGAGGTGGCCAGTGGTTAATTTGCTATCCACAGAATTTATTTTATCTGTGGCCACTGCAGCGTCTGCTAACAGGGGCACGTATAAGACCAAAACAACAGCATGTAGAAACTCCCCTGGCATGTAATATGGCCACAGTCCCACAGCAAGAAGCTCCATGTTTGGGTCACAAGCCTGTGATTTTATTGTAACGTGTTCAGGGTTGCCACAATTTCCATCCATCCATCCATCCATCCATCCATTACCTTCTGCTTGCCCGGGGTTCGGGTCACAGGGGTAGCAGCTTCAGGAGAGATACCCAGACCTCCCTCTCCCCAGCTACCTCTACCAGCTCCTCGGGGGGGGGACGCCGAGGCGTTCCCAGGCCAGCCGAGAGATATAATCCCTCCAGCGAGTCCTGGGTCTGCCCCGGGGCCTCCTCCCTGTAGGACATGCATGTAAAACCTCTCCGGGTAGCCGCCCAGGAGGCATCCGCACCAGATGTCCAAACCACCTCGACTGGCTCCTTTCGACGTGAAGAAGCAGCGGTTCTACTCTGAGGCCCTCCCGGATATCCGAACTTCTCACCCTGCCACAATTTCTCATTTAGAAAAACAGCAGTTCCACCCCATCTCTTCTTACCTTTGCTCCTATCAGCACAAATGACATTAAAGTCACCTATTAGGACTATGGAGTACAGAGTGCTAGATCTCAGCCAGGTTTTTGTGAAGCACATGAGGCTGCATTATTTGTAGAACTCATAGTAACTGGTCAGCACTGAGAGTCAGTCCATCTTGTATTTCAGTGACCTTACATTGCCTGCGTACATGATGCGTATATGTGAAAGGGTCGTCAACCGGGAGCCACCCTTCTCAGATGTTTCGGTGGTGGAGCAGCGAAAGGGACGTCTCCCTAACACTCCCTGCAGCCTGCCCTAAGATCCCTCTCTCCCCCACGCCTTGTCCTTCCTTCAGAGCCAGAAGCTCCCTTGCTCTGCCTCATGAGCTAGATCTTGCATTGCTCTCCTCTTCCTGTGGCCTGTGAGACCAAAGGTTTTCAGGAGCCGCTGCTTGGATGTTCCAACAAAGCCCCTGCACCCGACTTCCACCGGGAATGTAAAAGCCCTCCAGCTGGCTTGAGAGCATGCAGCAGCCAGGTCTGCACACCTCTCTTTCTTCCTCTCATAGGCAGCCTCCATCTCCTCCTCCCATGGGACGGTCAGCTCCACCAGAATGACTACTTTGGTGGGTGTTGACCAGAGCACTATGTCAGGGCGAAGGGGTGAACTGGTGATCTCGGCCGGAAATTTCAGCTGGCGACCTAGATCAGCTCTCAGCTGCCACTCTCCCCCCGGGGACAAGAGGGTGAACCCTGCACTGGTGCTGCACTGTGCTACTCCCCCTTGCCTAACGAACTGGATCCATCCCTGAGATGATGGGATGCTGGCACGGTTTACCTCCAGCCTCCGTGTCTCCAGCAGCTCAGCCAGCTTGCACAGGACTTTGTCGTGCCGCCATCTATATTTTCCCTGTGCCAGTGCTGCCTTGCAGCTACATAGGATGTGCTTGAGGCCTGGCTTTGGGGAGCTGCAGAGGTAGCAGGGTTCTTCTGAGCCATACCAGGCTGGGGAGTGTGTCATAAGTGGCCCTGATGAGGAAGCTCAGCCTTGCCTGGGGTGTGCTCCACATCTCCACCCAGGTAATGGTCCTGCTGGTCACAGCATCCCAGGTGGACCATTTGCCGTGCTGTTGTTGGCTCACTGCTGTAACTTTGTAGTGCTCCTCATCCATTTTGGTCACCTCGGAGATGATGAGATCTTTCCTCTCCTTTTTATTGGCTTTAGACCATCTTAGCGCTGGTGCTCTCCATCCTGATCCAGCTCTGCCAGGCTGCGTAAAGCCCATGATCTCCTGGTGTTTCAGCCTCTCTGTGGCCATTTCTACTGCTTGTGCTACATTCCACTTTCCTCCAGTCTGGACTTGTACATCTGCATTTTGAATAGACAGGTCTGGCGAGTCTCTTAGCTCGAATAGGAGTCTTACCTTCTCCTTCTTGTAGCCCAGGCTGATTGACTGAAGTGGGAGCTGTAGCAAATTTTTGCCAAAGAGTGCTGCATTGTAGAGGCAGCGGGGGGATGTAATTGTTGGCCTTTGCTTCCAGTTTCAGGACTGTTGTCATGGTGATCTTGCACAGCTTCAGTGGCCACATATTTAAAAAGATGATAAAAACAAACTCACTATAGTAGAAAAAACAAAGATAAGAAACACATATGTTCTGTAGCAGGCAACCACTCAAGGCATTGCATACAGATTATGGCATGCAGATTTTGGTGAAGGTTGACTTTCAATGGTTTTGCCCTGCAGATATCCCCATAAGGCAGCGAAACAAGTAAATGTAGAATTGCTTATAGATTTTAAGGGAATTAAAGAAACACTGATCAACCAGGAGTGCCACCTGACTGACTATAATTTATGGATGTCAAAGCCAGTCCCCCATTTTAGAATCAGGGAAAATCAAAGTTGATATGTATGTAATAGAGTAAGTATTGTGCCAGCATAAGAATCAATATTCTCACATGACTTGTTAAGTTTTAAATGATAAACATTAATGATGGTGTTTTGATATTTCAGTTGAATGTCAGAGTGAGATTTGTTCAGCAAAGGCTGGTGTTTGACTTAGTGGGTTAGGACACTGTATCTGTGATCAGAAGGTCACTGTTTCAGCTCCCAGAATGATGCCAGAATGATTTCACCATTGGGCCCCTGAACAAGGCCCTTAGTCCCCAATTAATCGATACTGTCAGATCCTGCTCTTTCAAAAAATGTATGTAACTTTGGATAAAACCATCTGCTAAATAGGTTACATGTAAATGACTTTGGTTTATTGTGGTTTCTTATGCTGTTTACAACAAATCCACAGCTCCCACCTGTAAATACGGAATAAATGCTTCCTGGAACTTCACCTTCATTAACCAACATATGAATTGGTCTGGTGCTCAGAGCTACTGCAGACACAGTTACACAGACCTGGCCACTGTGAGGAATAAAGAAGATAATGCCTTGATACATACAATGGTTACAAGTGGCACTTGGGCATGGATTGGCCTGTTCCAGGACACATGGGAATGGTCAGACCTGTCAAACTCCTCATTCCGTAACTGGAAAATTGGTCTAAATGATAATGTGGGTAACACATGTGCTTTAGCACAGGTCACCTGGCCTGGGACATGGGATATGACACCATGTGATGAAAAGCATCCATTCATATGCTATGATGGTGAGTAATGTAACTTTACTACAGTGGTTGACACTCACCTTTATCTAACAGCATTAATTTATATTACTTTAAAAATATTAAACTAATATACTAAGTTATAATCAGTGTTATAAGTACACATAACACTGTAGTTGCATCAGAAGTTTTGTCTTCACTGTTTTGTGAATTTCACTCCCTCTACCCTTATAATAAATTCCTTTCTCCAAGTTTCCAAATGTCACATGACTTTCTCCTGAACCCGCTTTCTGACAATCATCTTACCTTCTGCCCCAGATAACCTGATATTGGTAAATAGTAACATGACCTGGAATGAAGTTTTTGTGAACGTTTTGAAAATAATTGATACAGTACATTTTGCTAATGATTAATGTTTAAATGAATGCATATAAAATGGTACCTCAGAATTCGAAATTAATACGCTCAGAACTCCGGACCGAATCCTAAAAAGTTCGAGTTCTGATCGAATTTTCCCCATAAAAAATAATGGAAACCAATTAATTGGTTCCTGGTCCCAAAAAATTACACCTAAATATGTTTTTTTTTTTTAGCATTTAAACACAAAATGAAGAAGATAAAACAAGAAAAGCATATACTGTACTAAACACATCTAGGCACATTTATCAAAACAGTAATTTGTAAAGTAAGAAAATAAATGTATCCAAACAATGTGTAAAGTAAAAAAAAAAAAATGTGTTCGGCATGACAATATTATTATAATTAAATGTATTAATGGTTTATTATTAATGATATTAAAGTAATTAATAAGAAATCTTTATTTTAAAATGTACTTTATTATATAATAATAAGTACCGTTACTATCTATCATTGTCTAAATGTATTTTTACTGTCTAAATATACGTATTCAGTTAGTATAAACATGCATGATGCTATCACAGCTAATGCGAGGCTGAGACTGAAGCGTTACCCTTTGTTTCCACTGAGAGACGTGCCGCCTGACTCATTTCCCCGCGCGTACAAGTTATCTTAGGTCGGCGTTCACGGTTCGACTTCTGAGATTCAGATCGAGTTCTAGGTCTTTTTTGTTTTCGAACTGGTTGGTTCGACTTTTAAGAAATTTGAGTTCTAATGAGTTCGAGAACTGAGGTACCACTGTATTACAAATTTGGATGGATGTGTCTAAGTGTGCTGACTTCTTCTGTTGCTCAGTTCTTACGGGAAAGAGAACAGTGGTGAGACTGACTGTCAGAACTGATGGAGAAATAAAGGATCCAACATTCAGCAGCCTTCTGTTAAAGCAGGTCAGTTCATTTCTGTTGTGGAGCTACATAGAGAAAGACACAAATTGGCAATGGAGGCACAAGGAGATATTCTGTTGTGTTATTATCTAGTTAAAGGAGAAACTGATCAGCGCAGGCATGTCAGAAAACACCACACTATCCTGGAGGACTCAACCTGATGGCCAAATCTTCCATCTAAAGGATGAAAGAGCATAAATGACAAGGTAACAGGTTTGCAAGACCTAGTCATTGAAGGTATAGGTAAATACATCTTCAGTGTTGTAATTTTTATTCCACCGTGAGCAGTTTGTGTAACATAGTATTTTGTATTACATTCAATATATGTTTTTGTCAAAAGAGTTGTACAGCGAGGTAGATAATTCCTAAGGCTTGAGCAGTTTATGGAAGAGGTAACAGAATGATATATGTGTGTGTTTTCCCTTTTCAGGTGTCTGTGAATTTGGAAGAGATGAATTCTCTGTGTGTCTGGAATTGCAGAGGGATCTGTGGACCATAGCAGCCCAATATTCATTAATTTGCACATGACAGAAAGAAATTTTAGCTTTAGTGAATTCAAGACAATGCAAGCTTGCAACATGTGAGGGATTGTCTATCCTTCTGCATCTGCATAAGAAACTTTCATTTGTGCTGATCCTGAAACAAATAATTGCTAACTGCATTTCAAGCCTCACGGTGCTCACTGCTTTCTTGGTGTGTTTCAGTTTAATAGATAATGAACATTTAGAAATAAAATAATTACCGTAGCCTAGTGGTGTGCGATACTACAAGATTTGGTATCGATGCAATACCATGTAAATACACTAGGGGTGTAACGGTTCACAAAAATCACGGTTCGGTTCGATACGACACAGTGGTGTCACGGTTCGGTATGTTTTCGATGCAGCAAAAATAAAAAAAAATGGCAGATAATTTCTTTTTTATTTATTAAAACATAAAAAAAGTATGATCTTGTTTTTTTCTTTTACTTTAAACAATGATGAAGCTATTCTTCACCCATCTTCTGAGGTTTCTTTTTAGCAGCAAATAAAACAAAACCTCCTTTATAAGCAAAACCAAAAAGCAATTTTGTAGTAGTTATAAACTAATAGAAAGAAAAGAACAATTTTGTTTTTATATGGAACTCAGTTTCAATCAATTTTTAATATTTTTTTCCAGAAAGATGAGTGTGTCCACATTTTATCCCCCACTCTCTTGCCATCACCCTCATAACTTACAGGGAAACCAAAGTGCTCCCAAACTCCAGACCTGTTGGTTATAGGAGGATCCTCTATTTCTGGTTTGATAATTGCATTAACGTTGCTAGCCATTTTGCAACGAGCTAGTGCAGCAAATGCCTGACTGACTGGAGTAGTGTTTGGGGGTGGGAGGGGCAGTCAGCACGTTGCCTGTCACGTCGTTTGGGCTGCCTTGTTGAGCGTAGTAGCACTGAAAACATTATATTTTACACACTTTATTCTCTTTTATTTTTTTCAAATATAACCCTCT